CTTCTGCAACCAATTAGTTAAAGCTGCATGAAGATTTTCATACTAACCCCGTCTCAGGAAGTTATAAACTATTGGAAAAATTTCACATTTTAGGCTCCATGGTTTCTGCCCTAATGCAAAACTTTAAAGCATAAGCAGGTCCTTCAGCTCTTTTTGGAGTAAAGAGAATAAGAAATTCTTCTTATTAAAAAAAAAAAATCAAGTTCTAAAGAGTGCCTGACTAGTGGTTGAAGTGTGGGATAGAAACAGTGCATGTGTGTAGTACACTGCATGTGAATAGTTTATGTGAACAAGCACTTCATTATGCATCTAAAATCAGCTAAGCAGGATGGCCCACATTTATGTGGCTAAAACTTAAGGGTGAGTAACAATAAAAAGACATTGCAAGGATGGCCTTGGCCCCTGCAGTGGAAATTGGAAGAGCTAATGTATTCTTGTCAAGTGGCCTAGGAGGCAGACCTAGTCAGAAGCAATGGCAGCAAAGGGGTCTCCCCTACAGTCATCCTAAGCACTTGTGGAAAAGAAGTTCCAGCCAACTTATTCTCTACAATATGTGACAAGAGACAGAGCAGAGGTGCACCCTACAGACTAACTGAATCAGAGATGCATAAGTTTTTGTGAGCAACCGCTCATTTTGTCAGATACTATGAAAGGATGGGAATGTCCTTTTATAGCATCTGACAGAGCTTTCCTAAGCAACAGCTCACTTTGTCAGATGTTATTAAGGGACATGCAGAGAGCTTATGCATCTATTCAGGAAGGCAAAGCGCACCCCTACCCTGCTTTCTGCCTGACTTCAGACTGACATGGCTAGCAACCTCTCTCTACAATGTGTGCGACTCCAGTAGGAAGTTTCTGTAAGGCCCACGTAGGTTCAGAGTCCTTCACAGTTGCATTCTTTTCACTTTTTTCCTCTTCTTCCCTCACTTGAAAAGTTGATTACAAATAAAAACGCATTATGGTTGCGTCCTTCCAAAAAACAGAAGAAAATGCATGTTAGCCACAAGTTCTGCCCTCTTTTGTGTAAGCACTGCATTACAATTGTCTTTCCATGTCATTTACCAATACTGTACAACTTATTTTTCCTGCTACTTAAATGCAGATGCTGCAACCTGCAACTGTATACTACTAAGTATGTCATAATCTGTGTGCAGCTTTACAAATTAATCCATGTTACCATATAACATTTGAAGCATCATCATTCAACCATCTCCGATTCAAGGTCTGATGACACAATCAAAAGGATTTCTCCATGGAAATCTCCTCTTTACTAATCCAGTTTCATGACTGACCCATCTACTTTTCTATGTTCTTTATCCACACTTGTAAGTGTTCCAGTCCTTCCTCATCCGTGCATTATTGTATTCCACAGGCAGTCCCTTCCTTCTCTAATCACATGGCCAAAAAACTTAAATTTAATTTAAGGTCCCTTGTCACTGCAATCTTATCTAGCACCCAATCATAGATTTGTTTTTCTGTGCAGGGAATTCTCACTGTTATTCAAGAAGGCTGCACTAAAGCATACATTAATCTAACAGCAAGTCTGGCATACACAAGTCAGCTGAGTTTGCGCTTTAGCAACTACTTCATACTTCGAGCTGTCCCTAAGGCTATACAGACTGTTGAAAAGTTATAGTACAGGTGTTGACAATATTAACACATACACCACAGGAAAAAACAAGTCCACAATATAAACTTTAAACAGTGCTGTATATTACTATAGTAACAAATTTAAAACTATCATAACACATACTGAGACACAGAATAGCCATTATATCTGTCACTTCCTCATTTACACCTGGCACTACTGAAGTTCTCAATGCAATTTGTTCTTTAGATTTAAAGCAATGCAAATTTTGCAATGGATATGAAAAGACAAGACAGCTGACGCTATTTAGGGGCAAGCTCAACAATCCTGACACTCACAGAAAAAATAGTTTGATTCCAGGTCAGGCAAATCTGTCTATTAGAATTAGAAGATGAGAACCAGCATCATCATCCCATGCTAGTCCATCCAGGTAAAAGCTTCGACTCTCAAGTCAAAGACACCCATTTTCTCCATTCTCAATCACTTTGAATTCTAAACAAAAAAGGCCATCGGGTATCCATCTCTGCACCGTGAGGGGCCATGGACTGCTCCGGTGCACTCCTCAGCCAGTAAGTGCTGTGGTTGACTAGATGTCTCTCATACTCTACCAAAAACGGACACCAAGAGCTCTCCTTGAAATAAAATGAAGCCTTGTTCTGGGGCTGCGGAGGCATGGGCAACATGCTGTTTTCAACCTTAAGTATTTCAAGCTTGTCAACATTATGCATGTTTATCACTCCGTGCAAAGAAAACAGACTGCGGAGATATTCCAATATTTTGCTGTCATTCTTACTCCAAAAGATATCATTTCTCCAATCTGCTGTGCAGGACCAGTGGATCAAAGCAGCACCTTCTGAAGTAATAGTTGCAGCAAACAGCTTGTATTTCATTCCTTAATCTGCTACTAAGCGAGTGCAAACCACAAACGTGAATGATCTAGATTCTACGCCTCATCTGAATTAGGATATAAAACCAGATTCTGACCAGTCACACCAACACACTGAAAAACCTGAACTGTTGAAGACATTTACATGAGTTGAAAAGCAAACATGAGAACCCCTAAGGTATATCACCAAGTTGCAAATAGATTAAAATAACAGCAGAAAAAAGCATCCCTTTTAGGCATTATTATAGCTCTGTTACTAGCAAATGAACGGTAATAACTTAGTTTTTTATACTCCTAGAAACACAGTGACTCATAAGAGAGAACTTGGTAAAACTGATTTTTTCATATTTGGAAGTAATAAAAGCATAAAGTTCATCCATTCTTTTTTTCTTCTGCAAGCAAAGCCTGTTATAAAAAAATCAAACTCTTCTCTTCAAACAGTGCATCACCAACAGGGAACAAGAGGCTCAGGTGACAAGTAGAAAGCAAGAGAAAAAAAAAACCCCCATACATCGTGTAAGTTTTACAATTTGTTTTTAAGGGCTTTTTAGGAGGTATCAGGGCACCCTAAAAAGAGTAAAACTATTACTAAATTCAGGCATTAAACTAGCTACATGTTTTATTATTAATTAATCTAAAAGTATTCAGCGTTTTATTTAAAACTACACTATAGTCCAATGGCTTCAGTCAGCAGATGTCTACAAATGTTTTATCTTTTTTGTGTCAAGGTAAATTCGTAAAACAGTATAGATAAAAACCATAGCCCACATATAATACTTGTGCAAGAAAAATGAGTACGAGACGACAAAGTAGTTTCAGACTTTGCCAAATAACTGTACTCTTATAAAGTTAAGAGCACGTCACTGTGAAAAGACGACAGAAATTAAAGTCCCTCTTCACAACAAGCTTTTCCTTCTTTTCCCCCCCCAGAAGAGATTAGGAAAACATTTAGATGAACATTAAGACTGACTGATGCCTCTTGTTCAGACTTCCTTAATTAAAGATTCTCTCTCTCTCAACCCAAGACTACATTTTCACGTTTAGTATCAACCAAAACGTAGTCGCTCGTGAAATCCACATATTTTTACATTGCTCCAAGAAACCCAGACAACCCTGGTAAAGCGAGAGATGAACGTGGCAGAAGGATAACGCCACGCTGATCTGAGCGGCACGGCCCGAGAGGCCAGACGAGCGACGGGGTTTGAGAAGTCAGGTAACGACACGGACGTCGATACGGCGGCTGCAACGTCTCACAGGTCGGACTGCGGCGAGCACACGCTAACCAAGATGTGGCGACGCTGGTGTCCAGCACCGGGGTAGCACCGCCCGGCTCCCCGCCAGCCAGCGAGTGAGCGAGCGAGCTCCCCGCCAGCCCAGCTCGCAGTCATCTTTTCTTTTCTTTTTTTTTTTTTTTTAATATGAGGCGTAGGAGCCGTGTCCCCGTCGGCAGAGAGGGCAGACGCGCAGCAGCAACCTCTGCCCCGAGGGGCGCGCGCCTTGGACCCTGCGCCCGGGAAGGGAGGGCGCGGACGGGCCTTGCCCCAGGAGGGACGCCCTCGCCTCCACATCCTCCCTGCACCGTGGCGGCTGCGCCCACCCCCAGCAGCGCAGGA